ACCAATTATATAAAGGAACCATGAAGAATTGGTGTGTCTCTTTTTATCTTTGTTTGGAAACTTTAGAAGAGTTAAACTTTAGCCTAAATTTGTGAGATAAGATTTTGTGACAAAGTCTGGTTATCAAATGTGAAACAAACAAAAGCAGCTTTGCAAAGATCTGGTACTCACACCAAGTCTTCTCTATAAAAATAGAGCATAATGGCCTAAGGATGTAGTTCAGTTGGTAAATATTTTATTATTTTTATGATATTTAATTATGTGTGTGTGTGTCACTTGTGTGTGGTGCCATAGAGGCCAGATTGCTTATGGTGGAGATAATAAAAAATCTTTAACCCACGTAAATAAATTTGGCAAAGTGTAAGTGAATTGTAGGCGTGAGCTGCTTGTGATAGTTCCTGGTGCAAAGCATCATTGTTGCTGTTGCTCGGCCTGTGGCTTGCTGTCTCTGTCAGTGCTTACCAAGGCTGGAGGCCTGGCTCTCTGTCACAGAGATACTGCACTTTGGCCAACGTAATGTTTTACAATCCTAATACAAGAATTTAAGATGCACATGTGTGTGTATGAGAGAGAGATAGAGAGAGAGAGAGAGTATAAATGTGTATCAGTATATTATGATAGAAAATCCTGACTGACATGTGTGTATTTTAACTGTGTATATGTATGTACATTTGTATGTATGTTCGTGTACATAAAGGCAGGTACCCTCAGGGACCGGAAGAGGGTGTCAGATCCCCTGAGCTGCTGTTACAGGCCTTTGTGGGTTACCTGACATGAGTGCTGAGAACAGAACTGGGCTCCTCTGGAAGAGCAGTAAGCTATCTTAACCATGGAGTCACCTTCCAGCCCTAGTTTTTCCCCATGGAGGATTGGGGAGCAGGTTCTGGCTTTATACTTCAGGCCAAGTCGAAACTCATGATCCTCCACTTCAGTGCTGAGGTCACAGGTATGTGCCACCATGGAGAATACACACCCTGCCTTGGCATAATATTGTGAAGACTAAACAACCTGGCATATCCTTCTAGATTCCCTGAGAAACAAAGCAAAACAATGGTTTTATATCACCCAGTGTTTCTCTTGTAGGCACCTTAGTCTCCCCACTGAGGGCTTCTATTTATGCCCCAACCACCCATCTCCTGCCTGGACTTTGCAGTGTCTATGAAGCACACCTCTCTCTTCTCAGTGGGTGCTTGCTCAGCTTTGCTGGGGAGTGGGAGGGAGAGGGAGGTCTCCCCTCATTTGTGTCTGCCATTGCCCAGTGGGCATGGGGTTGGAGAATCAGAAGTGAATATGAAACAGCAACTTGCCTCCTGTGGATTCACCATGCCCCACCCACCATCTGTGTCGTCCCTTTTGAGATGGAAGATCAAATTAGACTTGTTGATCTGTTGTAATTCTAGTGGGCTCTAGGTCAGATGTCTTTGGGTTGGATATCGGAGTTGACTTTAGTTATGCTGCCGGGATTCTGGTATTGTCGTCCACTGCTGCACTCTGGCTTCACAGCCTTTGAAAGGCAAGTGACGTGCTCATCCAGGGCATCATACTGTGAGCACAGGAGTCACTGTGCTTCACCAGTCACACACACAGGACCAGGACTGGGGGCAGTGACCTCAACTGGCAGACCAGTGCGGCCCCTTAGCTCCTCCTAGGTATACTTGTCTGTATTTATGGTTTGGATCTGTGTTCTTTATAGAGTGCAAGAGGCCCACAAGGGCAGCAAAAACCATATGCTTATAGCTTGTTTTCCTCCTAAAAGTAGTATTTTAAGCCCATCCAAAGTATTACAGACACTAATGCTCCCCCAATACACCATATAATTGATTTGATATGTGACTATCTTGCTCCATACATCCTAAGTTCTTTTCATAAACAAATTTCATAAGTACTGCAGGGAGACCACTTCCGTCTTCTGTCTTGCCTCTGTTCCTTCTAGTATATCTGAGGTGGTGGACCTACTTCTTGTAATTAAAATATATTATTATTATTTTTGTGGATGGGGCATTTTGCCTGCATGTATCTCTAAATCATGTTTGTGCAGTTCCCAAAGAGGCCAGAAGACACATCAGATCCTCCAGGAACTGGAGTTACAGAAGGTTGTGAGTCACCACGTGGGTGCTAGGAATCAAACCCAGGTTCTCTGGAAGAGTAGCCTGTGGTGATATATTATGATTATTAAAGCTTGCCTGAAGATTCAGAAAGCAAAGTCAACCACAAGCCATAGAAGCCAGGCACACACTCCTAATTCCAGCATCCAGAAGCTAGGAGGGTGGGTGTTACACACCTTTAAACTAGGACTCAGGATTAAGAGGTAGATGGATCTCTCTGAGTTCAAGGCTACCCAGGGATACATGAAATTGAATCGGTCTAAAAGAGTAACAGATTGCATGCCTTTAATCTCAGCATAGAGGGTTATAAAAGACAGAAGCAGGGTCTTCAGTAGTCAGTATCAGGATTCTCCAGCCACACTGAGGAGAAGCAGCAGTTTGAGATTTGGTGAAGAGCTCATGTGTGGATCAGCCCTTTCAGCCTGAGCTTGAGGTGAGAGCTAGTGACCTGGTGCTTTGCTTCCCTGATCTTCATCTTGAACCCCAATATCTGTCTCTGGGTCTTTTTTTCTCCGTGTTATAGCAACCAGTGCTCTCAATGGCTGAGCCAACTCTCCAGCCCCTCTCTTGGTTGGTCTAACTTGGACTATACACCATGAGCACCAATGATCTCTCCACTGTTGTTGCTGCATGTTGCAAGTTTCTAATAACATGCTTTCCCCCTTGTAATCAGTTTCCTCACCATCCACTCTGAGATTCATCTGTGTCAATGTGTAGAACTAGTTTAGTTTCACTGCTGTAAACCGTACCATTGCCTGAGGGACATCATAATTTATACCTTTTACTTGTTACTTAATTGTCACAAAACGTGTTGAGGTAAATATTTTTGACTGTTTCAGAACACATACTTAGTCCACCTCGAGCCAGTTTATAATGCCTTCTATAAATATTTGGAAAATAAAGTTAGGAAGTAGGATCCTGTAGGCTGTCCTTGTCCCCATCTTTCAGTGATGACACTTCCTCATAATTGTACCAGTGCAGATGACATTGTTGGCCATGTCACCTGCTATCCTAGGGTTGGCAAGACCACATAACGTCTGTCTTCTTTGGTGGGGCCATACTGTGGGAGGTCTGGGGTGTTGAGGGAGCAGCTGGCCCACTGTGTAGAATATTGATTAAGGAAAATACAAAATCAGGGATATGTTCAATATTTACAAGGCACAAAGGTGGTTAAGACATGGACCCAGAAATGTGAAAACTGAAGAGACTCAAAGTATAGTAGACAGACAAAGCCAGCAATAAACAACAGGATGCAACAGAACAACCAAAATAACAACTGTGCTGACAACTTGGTATATGGCCTAGAGGACTCTGTCTTTTTTTTGTTTGTTTTGTTTTTTGAGACAGGGTTTCTCTGTATTGTTTTGGAGCCTGTCCTGGAACATGCTCGGTAGACCAGGCTGGTCTTGAACTCAGAGATTTGCCTGCCTTTGCCTCCCAAGTGCTGAGTGCTAGGATTAAAGGCATGTGCCACCAACGCCCGGCCAACTCTTTGTCTTTTTAAATCTCAACATTTGTTTATATCTTACCTGGTAGAATTATATGGAAACTCTCTTAAAATATCTAGCATGGAAATCTTTTACTTTTACTAATTTATTTATATTTGAGACAGGCTCTTTCTATACAGCCCTGGGTGTTCTAGAACTCACTGTGTAGAGCAGACTGGTCTCAAGCAATAGAGATCCACATGCATCTGCCTCCCAATGCTGGAATTAAAAGCATTACCACACCCACCAAAAGTCATCCATTTTAAAACCTGAATGCAATGGTACAGTCATGACAACTTGTTCATCCATTCCCTTACCAATGCCTTTCCTTTCCTTGTAAAAACTGTTATCTGAAGCAGTTCATGTCTTTATGCATGTCCCTGTGGCCATGGCAGAGCTGATCATAGATGGGTGACCTGACTGAATGGTGTACACATTTTTTTACAGGGTCTCCTGTGCTTCAGGCTGTCCTTGAACTCACTATATAGATGGCTAAGGATGAGCTTAAACTGACCCTCCTGCCTGTGCTTCCTAAGTGCTGTGATTACATGTGTGAGCTACCACACTCAGTTTGTGAGTGCTGGGGATGGGACACGGGCTTTGTGAATGCCAGGTAGGTACTCGACCCTCCATGCTATATCTCTACTGGCCAGTTTTGAGTTTTACCATACTCTTCCATAGTGCTTTCTGGCAAGGCTTTTGTATCTATTTTACCACAGGTAATGATAGAGAGTGTCTTCTCCCGTAGTGTCACTTGTAACAGTAACGGAGTCTCTTCAGTGTCTGGTCTGACACAAAGTGAGAGCTCGTTCCTGCTGACCTCTGTGGACACTGGGTTGGTGGGACGTTTGTTCCATGCCTCATTGACTATTTGCTTTCTCTGTTTGGCACACAGCTCATCTTTTCCCTGAGTTATGACTAGCCTCTTCTGGTTTTAAATAGAGCTAATTATACAGAATAGATGTCAAGCCTTTGTCATCTATTATAAATAAATGTTTGGACAAAATATAGTGTTCATCTCTTGGCTTTATCTGTGAGCTAGTTCAATGAAAGATGATAGTACCATATTGAGTTTCTTTCATTCTTTTTTTGTTTTTGAGTTTCATTAATTCTTTTGTTGAGTTTTACTCATTATTTTTCAAGGGTCAGCTAATTGCTGTGCCACAGTAACCCGCTTTCTGGGAGGGTCACAGTGAATTACAGTATCAGTGGACCGGTGTCGTCACCTTCAGGAGTGTCAGGGCACTCATGTGGCTGCTGAGTTTTGTAGCCCTTTGGCTTCTCAGGTGTCACCTTTATTTGAGTGTTCAATGTGCGGGAAACTGTTGGGCCACCAGGCATCTATGACTCACCGACACTCTTTTCCCTCTGGAACTGGGACCCTGAAATCGCCTATTTTTCTTTTCAGAAATCGTGTCATCCTTAAAGCCTCATCCTCCTGTTGTGGGCAAAGTGACTCATCACAGCATTGAACTGTACTGGGATCTGGAAAAGAAAGAGAAACGGCAAGGACCACAGGAGCAGTGGCTTAGGTTCTCCATTGAAGAGGAAGACCCCAGGATGCACAGTTACGGTGTCATTTACACGTAGGTGCAGACACAACTGCTCCGGTGCATCTTGCTTTCCTCACTGTAGAGTGGTTACCCAGGTAGCTAAGAAGCCACAGGCTCCTTAAAGTTAAGGAGTGAGTCCATGAACTTGTGGTAAATGAGCATTAGGGGGGAACTTGGGAATGAACTCAGAGCTTCTTTGACTCCTGAAGTAAGCTAGTGTATATCACCTATGTCTAAAGTGTAGAGACAAGGAAAAAACATACTAGATGATGTGAGCTGTGGTTCCTTTTGGGCTGTTTTGTTAATGAATGCAGGTGAAGCCCTTCTAGTTCATATCAGCCAACTGGTCAGGACAGTTTCTCAACCTAGGTACTTTCTTCCCAAATGACTTTAGTTTATATCAAATTGACAAGAAAATATATCACAATCCCCAAGATATTCTTTAATCATGTCATAAATTCTACTATGAAGGTGATTTCCTTCTAAAAGCATACACATATAATATAAAATGCAGTGTGTGTGTGTGCGTGCGCGCGCGTGCACGTGCGGTGTATGCATCTATGTACAGGTACAGGCACCCATGGAGTCCAGAGGAGTATGTTGCATGTCCTGCTCTTTCATTCTTTCTCTGCCCTCTATTCCATTGAGACAAGCTCTTTCACTGAACCTGCCTTGCCCTCCCCCTATGGCTGCCTACTAGGCTGGCTGGCCAGCCAGCAAGCTTCAATGATCCTCCTGTCTCCCCTCATCCCAGTGCTGGGGTTACAGGCAAGCTTTTTAATATAGATACTTGGGATCAGAACTCAGATCCTGATGCTTTTATGACAATTGCTTTTTTAAAAAAAACCATTGAGCCATCTTCCTCAGCTTTAAATTATATTTTAAGTATTTTTATGGAGGGAGAGAAAGATAGAACTCTCTATTCAGCTTGTGCTTGGCCAGAGCTGCTCTGGCTATACTCCTCTGCTTCCTCTTGGCCTCCATCCCTCCGTCCCTCTGTCCCTTCCTCCTCCCTCCCCTCCATCCGTGGCACCCTCTTTCTTAGTACCCAGGCTTCATTTAGAGACAGCAGCTACAAACACCAGCCTCCAGCCTGGCACACTGTCTGTGTAATTCACCTTGGCCCTGGAAATCTGGCCGCTGTCAGGTCGGAGAACAGTCTTAGATGATGGCCTGCCATCTTGAGCAGGTGGCATCTCCAGCAGACCCTGGCTCTGAGGGCCTTGGTAAAGTTTTATCCCTTGGAAAAATCATGCACGTGTGTCTGGACACTAGGTGGCAGGCTTGGACTGCAGTATTCCCAACCTCATTTGCCAACTCATTGCCTGTCTCCAGTTATCATTAAGCCTAGCAAATGCCTTCCTTGGAATGGTTATCTAGTGCACACTGGGCTGACACATGTTCCACTGTGAAGGTAGTTTCCTTTTGAAACTGTGTGTGTGTGTGTGTGTGTGTGTGTGTGAGAGAGAGAGAGAGAGAGAGAGAGACAGACAGACAGACAGAAACACATACAGAGACAAAGAGAGAGACCCAGAGAGAGAGACCCCAAGACTGAGAGAGACCCTGAGACACACAAAGACACGCGCGCGCGCGCACACACACACACACACACACACACACACACACACACACACAGCCAGAATGTGTGTATGCAGTCTGTCCACATCTGCCTTATTATCTCTCATTTCTGAGCACAAACTTTCTCTGATGTTGTGACTGTGCCTTGGCTTTCTCTGTGAATGTTTCTTGTCCTCCCTGTGTTTGTGTCCTCCTCACTCTCTTCCCTCATCCTGCCAATGCAGTGTTCTAAATCAACTGAAAATCTCCCTCGCTGTCTTACTGTTGCTTTACCTTACTGTGATAATTGGTACCCTATGGTGCTTTTTATCCAACCCATCATCATATGTTCATGAGTGCCCATGACATACTGAACATTGTTCTGCAGGCCAGCGGTGTGGTGCTGGCATCAGATAGAAATTCTCCATGTTGCAAAAACCACATGATAAATGAGACATGCATGTAAAAATGTACAATGTGTCAGGGGGTAGTAAGTCCCAAGGAGGAAGACAGGATAAGCTGATGGTCTGTGTCAGGAGTAAAGACTCTTCACAGTGGAGAGGGCTCATGTAAGACCTAAAGCAAGTGTGGGATACTGAAGGCCTTTGCAGGCCAGAGCAGTGTCACATGGGAAAGCACAGGGAGGAAGGCAGAGGACATGTGGGGGGACTATTGGTGAGGTTGACAAGGTAGTAAGTGGTAACAGTGCAGCTGTGGCTTTCCAGAGAACACCAGTTTTTACTGGAAAGATGTTGGGGGAAGCAAAGGAGGTGGTTAAGCCAGGACAGGCAGGACCTGTACAGTTTGTGAGGGCTGCTGGGGCTGCCTGAGATGAGGCTGTGGCAGCAGACAGGGCTAATTAGGAAGCTCGTGCAATAATTGAGGCGGGAGATAGCAGAACAGTGTGAGAACTGGCTGGATATAAGATACTCTTAGCAGTGGATTTAAACCATTTGCTAGAAGAGTCAGGCACACACTGATGGTCCCAATTGCTTGGGAGGCTGAGACCTAAGGATCACTTGAGCGTAGAGAGAATTGTAAGGTTTCATCTCAAAAAACAAAACAGAACACCTTAAACATTGTCAGAGCACTAGACCTACCATCTATGCAGTGAGAGTGAAAGCAGACTTGCATGTGTGCAGGTATGTTTCTCTCTCTCTCTCTCTCTGTCTCTCTCTGTCTCTCTCTGTCTGTCTCTCTCTCTCTCTCTCTGTCTCTCTCTCTCTCTCTCTCTCTCTCTCTCTCTCTCTCTCTCTCTCTCTCTCTCTCACACACACACACACACCCGTACCTTAGGGAACCAACCTTACCCAAACTGTAGTGAGGATGTTCACTTAGCAATGTAGTTCACCTACTCATAAGAATAATGTGTTCTAGTCTGATAGTTTTTATTTTCTATATTATAATTTTCAGCCCATGTGGTATTTCAGAGCACTTACTCTGCTTGCTTTAGAGAGTTCACATTGTGGTAAGTATATTTATATGTCTTACACATGTCTCCTTTCTTACTCAAATGTTTTTCTGAATGTCATCAAAACCATTTGTTTTTCATCTTATATTGCTGTCTAACCAACCATAGGTCTGTCTGCCTGCCTGCCTGCCTGCCTGCCTGCCTGCCTGCCTGCCTGCCTGCCTGTCTGTCTTCCTGCTAGCCTATGACAGCACTGGCTTCTGCACCATGAATTTTGGCCTGTGCGGAAGTAGTGCTTTCGCTGGTTGGAGGCTGGCATATAGGATGCTGCCTAGACTTTTTTTTTCTCTATCACTGCCTACCACCAACCAGCGGCTCCATCTTACCACGTGGTCCCTCTGCAGCAGGGAATTAGAACTTTTCATGTGGCCAGCTCCCAGTGGCACCAGTGCAGAAGCTCCAGGCTTCACTTCACCCAAACCCAATACTACCCAGCTTCCCTCCTGCCACCTTGCCTCCCAATCCAGGGCATAGGATTAGACCTTGCCTATGTTTCTGCATTGATGGATGAGTTGCCCTTCCTGAACATGCACTTTTGTTTTGAGTAAAGAGGGGTGGCTTCACAAGTAAAAGATACCAGAACAGGGCTGAATTTGCCAGATTTGGGAACAGGGTCTGATGTCAGATGGGTATAATGTGCAGATTGTTTTCTTGCTCTGTTGGATTTGGTTACCTGAAGTTACTTTGTGCAAGTAACTGATTTCTCCTGGAATCTCAATTTTGTATAAACACCAAGGAGAAAGGGTCTTGGTAAACTTGGAGTAGGGTAATGTCACTAGATCTCACTGAGACACCTTTCCCCACATGGCCTAGATATGACACATCCTAGGCTGACTCTGCTGGAGGCACACAAGCCCTTCATCCCGGGGCTGATGTCCTTTGGTCCCTACATTTCATTCTGACACATCTTGTCTGTTGTGGAAGTCAGAGAGATCTTTCTTGCAGGACACCATGCAACTTCTCTCTTCTTTCACCCATCATTCCTCATACAGGGGAATAAGTTCAGGAGGAACTCAGAAGGCTTTAGACTCTGAGAGGGAAGGAGACGGAAGGGTGGCAGTTACTATACCACCCCATCCAGGGCCAGGAATGGCTCTGTTCTGTAGCTACCTCTTTCATGCTACACCTTGGAGAAGAGACTGGTATGTCCAATGGGTTCTGGGGATGAACAAGTGAGACCCTGTGAGTGACAGGTGCATCCCATCATGCTACCTTCACTTCTCTGAAGCCATGTTTTCAGGAGAACTTCTGTCTGCCATGATGTTGACTCTAGAAAATAGGGTCTGTAGCTTACTGGCTGATTCATCTCAGTCTTGAGATCATCCAGGGCTGCTCTGCTGAGGATGAGAGAGAAATGAGAGAAAATAATGGTGAGCTTGGCATGCATGGGGCTTGGGGCTCTGGGGAAGTACACTGTAGGGAAGAGAGCAAGAACCAGGTGGAAGGAAAAGGGTTGGAAATAGTGTGCACCCCCACCAAAGGTCAAACCTTTGAATTACAAAGAAAGAAAAACTTAGATACAGAATTGAAAGAGGAATACTTGGGATCCACTCAAAACCCAATAAAAGCATCTGGTAGTAGAAAGAAACTGAGAATTGAGCCATAGAAGGTACTACGTGTAATCCTGTTCCTTTTGAAGGGGTGATATCTTAGCTCTGCACTGAGGCAAGGCTATCCCCCTAACCTCCCTCTCGGGAGAGAGCAGGCATCTCCGCAGGCCTTCATTGGCTTGACATCTTTAGGCCTGTTCCTTCAGTATCTTGTTTGCAGTAATTGTAGTAACTATCAATTCTTCAGCCCTATCTACTTGCTTTAAGACTCTGTTCGAAATTCACATGCATGCAATCACCTTTCAAATATGAAACTTTGTCATTTGAATATGAATTTTATGGGATATCATGATTATTTCTATGAAGAACATATGTGCATGCCAGCTGAGCCCAAGCACTGTGTTATGTGAAGCATTCTTTAGTGGGGGAAATATAAACAAATATTTATTTACTCTAGATAGCAAACCAGTGATAAACTAAAAAACAATTTTATCAAAGTTCAACTTCGTGAACCAAGAAGATTGTTGGTTTTTTTTTTTCTGGGAGGATGGGTGAGAAGTTAGTTACAGGAGCATGGATAACTCCAAGGTAGCTGTGTCAAAGGTGCTGACTGATAAAGGCTGCAATCCTGAAGTTCTGAAAAACTTTCAGGCAGCTCTATGGTCAGAGAGTCTCTACTCAGGCAGCTCAGGTTGTGGGTCTCTCTTATATGCAGACTGGTGGAAGGATCCCTCCTTTGGCCTTTTGAATGTGAAAAGGTTTTCTTTGTGCAACCCCCCCAACAAAATCTCACCTGCATTGTCAGTGAAAGGGTGTGACTATATAACATTCTACCTTCAAACACAACATCAGATACAAATATCTTTAAATGTTTCAAAATATCAGTCTCAGGAACTGACATAAAACCAGAACAAAGATGAGGTGTTCAGAGGCATCCATGTTTGTCTCCTTCTGTCCAGGGGTTATTCTACAAAGCATGTGATTGAAGGTCTAGAACCAAGGACACTGTACAAATTTCGACTGAAGGTCACCAGCCCCTCTGGAGAATATGAGTACAGCCCAGTCGTCTCGGTGGCTACGACCAGTGAGTACAACTCATACTCATGCTCTATGCTTGCAGGTTGGAGATAAAAATACACTGTGTTCTTCAGGGCCTCCCTGGAAGCAAAGAGGATTCCATTTGACAGATCCACAATAATTTTGTTTACTGCCTGGGCCTCAACAGAATGCCATCAGGAAGGCCAGCTATGCTTTCCAAAATGGGGAGAGCTGAATTGGTGCCAAGACTGTCCTCTTATGGGCATCTGGCACAGGGTGGCAGTTACGTTTCTGAGGAAGTGGACCAGCAGGGATGGGCTGAGCACTGCTCCGTCCACAAGTGTCTGCTGTCTGCTTCTGTGCATGTGTGTATGTCCTGTTTGGTCACAGACTTCTGTTTCCCTGGGTACCGGAACTGAAGAAAATCATGATCAATGTTTCCCAAACCTCAGGGAGGTAATGCTTCACAGAGGTGGGCAGAGAGGCTAACCACACACCCTCTGACCACCTTGGTCTTGTCCTGGTTTTATGTCATCTCCTGAGACTGCTATTTTGAAATATATAAAGATGTGTGTATCTGGTATCATTTTTGAGGGTGGAATGTTTTATATACAGTCACACCCTTTCACTGACAGTGCAGGTAAGATTTTGTTTTGCAGGAGTGGGGGGAAGGTTACACAAAGAAAATATTTTCACAGATAGCATTAGTTTTCAGTTGTGTGTAGAGTAGCGTTTGCCTTGCCTGTATGTGCTCTGTGGTTTGCCATTATGTCCTCCTGACTGAAGGTGATTCAGATTTTGAGCTACTCTAATGTGCTTTTGGTTGCAAGAATGGCGAGAGGGGCCTGAATCTGGATGGAGCAGTCTTCAAACACAGTTAAAGCTGAGAGGGGGGAATTCACCTGTGGTTCTGAGTGATGCTTTCTTAACCATGAAACAGGGTAATTTCATAGGAGACAGGCAGTAGTCAATTATACAGGTCAGGCATGAGAGCCTGCACCTTAATCTGGTGATGCTAAAGGAGATAGATATTTGATCCTGGAGTCCAGGGGGAAGGAAAGGAGGGAGGGATGTGTGTGTGTGTGTGTGTGTGTGTGTGTGTGTGTGTGTGTGTGTGAGAGAGAGAGAGAGACAGAGAGAGACAGAGAGACAGAGAGAGACAGAGAGAGACAGAGAGAGAGAGAGAGAGAGAGAGAGAGAGAGAGAGAGAGAGAGAGAGAGAGAGAGAGAGAGAGAGAGAATAGAGAACACATGGACACAGGAGGACAGGGCAGGGAGCAGTGTTGAGGGTGCAAATACAGGCATAGATCCTGCCTTTGAAAGAACTTTCCTTGGGACAGAGGCAGGATGTTCTCTCAGGCAGCCTCTGCACTTCTCCTGATTTCCTCCTGTGATTCCAACCTCCCAGAGTTACCACTCCCCCTCTGCCCTCACTGGAGTACCTAGTCCCCTGTTCTGCCCACTGTACATGCTCCATGGGCAGAGGTGACTCAGGGCTGATTTCTTGTGCAGGCTCCTTCCACACACACACTTCAACTCCTCCCTACTTTCTGAGGCAGGGTTAGTATTTCTTCCATCCCGATTTATATATTTGCCTGCCATTATACTCTCATTTATATTGTAGGCTCCTGGATGGAGGGGTGGTAGGGTGGGTCAACCATCTCTCATATGTGGGGCTGGGTGGGTGGATGATGAATTAAGATTCAGTGGCAGAAGTAGGAGCACAAAGATGCACAATTAGTTTTTTTTTTTTGGCTTACTCTCATCTTGGGGACAGATTCATTTTTCACCCAGAGAGGTACACATAGCTGACTCTGCAACTAATTATGGTGGGCTTCAAGTGACCTGCTATCCCTTGAATAACACATCCAAGCCAAAGGGAGAGGGGCTTCTGACTTTTTAGTCAAAGTTCACATAGAGCCCTTTTACAGAAGGCAGAGAGACTGGCTTGACTCTGCAGATCAGCTGATGAGGGCGTGCACTCCCAGACACTGCACTAGACTATTTCTCTGTGAGCCTAATGGGGCTATGCTTAATGGAGGGACTGGTGTCTTTGGTGGAGGCAGGCCCCTGGCTCTGCTGACTGATGGCTGCTCCCTTATTCTATTCTAATATTCAGTGTGGGCTCTCTTAAGGAGGCAGAAGATGCTAAACAGAGAATCGAGAATGTTCACATTATACAGAGCAAGCAAAAAATGCTTCTGTGGGCTTATAATTTGCATTCAGTTTGAGAGCATTTTAATGAATCACAAAAGCCTGCACTTTGTTTGAATAAAGGATGCTCAGCCTTTTTTTTCCTTCCCAGGTAAAGTACATGAGGCTCTTGCTTAAATGAAGCATGCAATTTTAATCAGTCAGACCCTTAAAAAGAAAGAAAAACAGCTGCCACTTGTTAATTGGCAAATATCTTCTCCAATGAGTTCATGATTTATTCACTGCTTTTAATAAAGAACTAGGTTCCACCAAGGAAGGTGTTGTCACCTTCCTTGTGGGCACTTCTGCACTAGATGACCCCCATTTAGAGTGAGATGGCTTCTCAAGGTCCATCCTGTCCATCCCTCCCAGGGGTGCCCATTGAGTGTATTACATCCAGCCCAGAGGACCCTTGACACGATGCCTGCAGTCATGACTCTCAGAGTAAGCACTGTGTGGTCAGACCCGCCAAGGCCAGCCTGTTTCCTATTCAGTTGCACACATTGAGCCCATTCTCCTGGGCCAGGCCTGTAGAGTCTTGAAGAGTTCATGTTTGGAAGGGTGGAGCATGTTGTTCACCCTGGAATTTCCTCTCTGTTCTCAGTGACTCCTGCCTACAGTGCAGGTGAAAGTGGTCTTGTGAAATTCTTGCTCACAGATTTTCTTTGAAAAACATTTTTAAATAGTGTGTGTGTGTGTGTGTGTGTGTGTGTGTTGTGTGTGTAGGTCAGAGGACAACTTTATGAAGTTGATGCTCTCTGTCAACCTTCACATGGGATCTGGCATGACATTCAGATTCCCAGGCTTTCATAGCAAGTGTCTTTATCCTCCTAGGCCTGCCACTAGCCTATGTTAATAGGTTTTCCTGGACTGATATACATGGTTGCAGTAGGATTCTCAGCTCTTCCTTTGTCTTCCTGGGACAGCATTTTGGTAGCTGGGGAGTACTGACTGAGCTGTCGCTGAGAAGTATTCTCATAACTGACTTTTTTGGGGGGGGCAAGACTCAGTAAGTTAAGTATATACTGCTTTCCTCTGTCTCCGTGAGGGGGTCCCTTTGTTCCCAGAATCCCATGTGAAGCACTGAGGATCCCTAGTAGAAGTGGGAATAGATAGCACATTTATTTTAGCTGTGTCATGACACATAGATATCTTAGTTGCACACAGCCCCTCAAGCTCATGAGCCTGAAATGAGCTTGTTTTGTTTTCTAATATTTTTGTACACCAGCAGCACTTCTGGATGTGGTAGGAAGCACCTTCATCAGGAGACCTCACTGTGTGGTGAGGTGGGGGCACAGGGAGGCGGGGGCGCAGGGAGGCGGGGGCACAGGGAGGCAGGGGTTCAGGAAGGCCGGAGCACAGGGACATGGAGCACAGGTAGCCAGTGCAGTGATGGGAGGCTGCTACAGGTTCTGCCAGACCTTGCTCTGAATATCTCAGTCCATACTCCTGGATACCTTTAGGCATTTACTTTTATTTGGCACTTGTTGGGGAGGGAAGGGGAAATTAGATTTATTTTGATTTTGTATTTTAAAACATAGTAAGAACAGAAACATAACTACGAATCAATCAGATACCCCAATGCCTATTAATTAAGTTATGGCCCCAGGTGAGATTTGGCCATGACCTCTGATGTTGCCTACTCCTAACTGATGACCTTGGACAGCTTAGCATGGCTCAGATCCGATTTTGTAGCTTGGAGGAGAATTTAAGAAGAATATGGAGTCCTTATTAATAAGTGTAGATTTAGAATACTCAACACATTGAAAAATTCAGAAGAGACCAGATGAACTTCCGACACGCCCATGCATGACTCTGTAACTTGCTTTTGTGGCAGCTGAATCCTGAGAGATACAAAAATGGCTCTTTTGTAGATAATAGGCTTCTTACAGGCACACAGCCTCTCCTTTTATATAGGAAGGAAGGAAAGAGCAGAGGGAGGAAAATCCCCTGGAGTGTAGAGGTCACACAATGATCTATGGATGAGTCCACTTCAATGTTGCTGGGGTCCTCATTCAGGACACTGTTGACATTCTGGATCTGGCTAGGCCATGAGTGGTGACGAGATGTCCTGTGGGTTACAGGATGCTAAGCAGCATCCTTGACCCTGCTTTGCTAGATATCAGTAGCATCTCCCAACTTGTGACTGACAACAGAGGTCTTTAGACAGGCGTCACATGTCCTTGAGAGTATAAAGCCCTCCTCTGAGTCCCTTTAATGAAGTCCCTGGGCTGGGCAAGATCTTCCTTAGAAGAACAAGGCTGGCCCAGGGCCTTGGCTTTGAAAACTTAGCACAATACCTTGATTCGAATGAAGCCTTTGGTCTAAGGATGTGTGAAATGATGAAAAAGATGTATAACATGACTGAAGAGATCTTTCAGAGATTGGTAAACTTTAGAAGACAGCAGTTTCAAAGCAATTTAAGTTGGCATCAATTGATTTTTACCTAAAAAGAGAGGGAATCAGCTGTGGCCAATCTGACCCACCTGCTCCCAGCTTTAACTGTCCTCCCCACACTCTGGTCACTTGATCCCTTTGAGTGTCTGTCATGGAGTGAGGACTCCATTGCCTGGGAGTTGATGTCCCAGAGAGACTGGAACAGGAAAAGGACTGCCATCTGGTTCTGCAGGTGGGCTGTGAGAGGGAGTGGCAGGGTTGGGGGCACCTAGGAGGGAGTCTGGGTTCAGAGCTGTGTGATGGGGAAGGACCAGCTATTTTCCTTTTCAACTTTGAATAGTAACACTTTGAAATTTGTGGTAATGTTAATCAGAAATATGTCGGTGGGGAGGGGGAGACCCCGTTTATCTACTTTGCTTAGAGATCCCTGTGGTGCTATTGATTGACCATCAGTGGTATGACTTAGATCAGGAGCCAAAAACTGAAGCCAGGTGGTCATCACAGATGTGGGAGGGGCGCTGTGAGAGGGTGAGGCAGAGCTGTGCTAGCCGGCAGTGGGGGTGTTGGGCATTCACAATTGAGCTCGGCCACGTTGATTTGAAAGGCATGGGATGTGGAAGGAGTGAAACCCTAGACTGTAGTTGGAAGAGAATGTCTTCCCATGGCCAGCCATATTGAGGCTGAGCCTGTTGATTTGCCTCCGCCTTACCCCCTCAGAGTTGACGTCCATGTCCCTGTGCCAGTCACTGGCCCTCTCAGTTCCCCACTGATCTTTTTGTCTTCTTAGGCCATCCCCCACCATTCCCCACTTGGCAGACAAGCCCCCCACTTCCCTGTGAGTATGAACCCCATCTGCTCTCTAAATGCAGGGAGCTAAAGCAACTGTTCCTGTTGTTGAAATATTTTAGCCACTTTGGTAAAAGAAAGCAGGATGTTGTGATAATTGCTGGGGTTTCCTTGACCACAGGAGACATTAGGAAGGATTATTCCGATGGTAGCACTCACAAAGCAGGATCTTATGACTTGAAAAATTTGCCACTTCTTTGGGCCAGTCTGCGAAGTTTCTCTTACCACGTGAAAAACAGGTCTTTCCCGGTTAAAGAAACCATTGAGTAGGAAATGTGAGCCCGACTGACAGGGACAGCTCCATGCCTTCTTGGAAGTGAAGGTGAACATCCACCAGAGGCCCCAGAAGGAGATGGAACTGCCCACCCCGCATTTCGGATGACTGCTCTCCATCTGCTTTCTTTAGGGGAGCCCGTAAGTAGTGAGCACTTCCACCGTGCTGTCAACGTGAATGACGAAGATCTCCTGCTTCGAATACTGGAAGGAGGGTGAGAGCGCAGCCAGCTTTTCTGGTCTCTCTTCCAATGTCCCTTAGGTACACCAGCATACGCATCACAGCTTTGTTTCCCTAGAGAAATTCTCCAGTGCCTGCAAAAGCACCTCCTACATTTACCTCAGGTGACAGGTAGGAGGTAGGGAAGTCTACTTAATAAAGAGTGTTTTTTTAAAAATGAAAACTATAAAAGGAAATTACAGGTCTGGGCATCATTCTTTGGCCCCAGAAGCAGTGATTATGCTTTGATTATCCAGCCCAGCATTTGGTACAGGCCAGTCTGAAATGCCCGCATGTAATACCAGGCAATGCTGGGAATCAGCAAGACTAGAAGGTTGGTAGGACATGGCTGTTGGAGGAGTGATGCCTGAGGCTGCTTTCCACATAGATGTAATTTACAGTCTTCTGTAGCATGGTTTTGTGCAGCTCAGAAGGTAGTGGTGTCTGGGATTTGGTAAATTGAAGAGAAGGTTCCACAGAATGCTGAGCTCCTTGACCGACAACGTGAGACTCATGTTCTTCCCTGGCAGCAGCAATACATATCCAAGGGAGAAGCTGAGGTCCTTGCCATACCTCCACCTGTGGTAAAACTGAGCATCGGTGCCTTGCTGTCCCCAGCTCATTCCAAGGGGCTTTGCTGGTCATAGACTATTTGATGGCGAGGCACGGAAGCTCGTGTTCCAAGTAAAATGACAATATGAAAACTTGAGCCTTTAAAACTATTAGGGCATTGTAGTTGGGCATTGGTGGTGCACGCCTTTAATCCCAGCACTCAGGAGGCAGAGGCAGGCAGACTCTGTGAGTTTGAGGTCAGTCTGGTCTACCTAGTGAGTTCCAGGACAGCCTCCAAAATAATACAGAGAAATGCTGTCTCAAAAAACCAACCAACCTAACAAACAAACAAAAAACTATTAGGGTATTGTAAGACAACAAAAATGCAATGGCCCAAGAGAAACAGAAGTTCTGATAAAATAAACCATTTTATCAACCCCCCCCCCATGGACCCTGCAAAGTGCTGTTAACTTAAGGGATCTCTTTCTGCTGTGAAATGACAAGTTCTTCTCTCTTTTCCTTAAGCCATGTAAAGGTGGATGTCCCCAACAAGTTTGGCTTTACGGCCCTCATGGTTGCTGCTCAGAAAGGCTATACCAGGTACGGCTTCTCCCTGTACCTGTAGGTTGTAGCCAGCTCAGGAGGGCAGCTTCTTTTCCCTTCCCCAAATTGTCTTCTGAAATGGCCTCCATTCGGGTGCTCGTGTTGGGTTAGGTAACACACAGACTAATTTGTATTTAGTTTTACACCATATATGGTATATGTCTTGGGAACATTCAAGATTGGAATTTGAATTTCTTTAAACAAAAGTGAGTGAGGTCATTTTGGGAACGGACTTACTTCTCTTTGAGGTTGCCATTATCTGTCCCACAGGGCTGACTGTAAGTGCTAACATCTTATCTTTCAATCTTATTTGTCTTTTAATTGCAACAATGCCATTTTGAGCAACACTTGAAATGCATTCTCATTAAGTGTTTCTGTTGGATCCCATATTAAAAATGCTCATTAAAATGACAAGAACTGTTGGTGCCTTGTGGGCAGGATTCATGGAAGGCTGGGGCCCTGTTTTTAGTGGGGATCAGTGGTTTTCCAGTTTAACAGAACTTCCTGTCTTCAGAATGGTAGAGAAGAAGGGGTGTGGTAAGGATGCCTTGAATATCAGATTCCAAGTCACCAAAGTCATTTTTCTCACTACTGTCAACTTTGTCCCTTTAGGCTTGTGAAGATCCTGATTTCCAATGGCACAGATGTGAATCTGAAGAATGGAAGTGGCAAGGACAGGTAGGAGGGTGGGGGGAATGCTGAGTGCTGCTGTGTTACTAGACTATACTTGGGGTTTTGTTTTTGTTTTTTGCCTTACACAGTTTGTCCAGGTTATTGTTAAAGTCCTGAGAGGTGAGTGGGCCCTACTGGGGAGAAGAGGAGACAAAAGCTGGCTTGTTCATCTATAGTTTCATTCTTCAGGTACGACCCATTCGACCTTCTCCAGCTCAGCAATCCATAGCTAAAGAAATGGTACCACCAGCTCTGGCCAGGCACATGGATCCTTTCTTGGATGCTCTTGTTACAGTGCAGCCTTTCTCTGCTGCCCAAGAAACCCAGGTGTTTGTAAAGAAGCAGTCAAATCAGTACCAGAGACACCAGTGCAAAGCATTGCTGTGGTGGGGGGAGGGAGGGTTACAGCAGTGATTCTCAACTTTCCTGATGCAGTGACCCTTTAATACAGTTCCTCATGTTATGGTGACCTCCAACCATAAAATTATTCCATTGCTACTTCATAACTGTAATTTTACTACTGTTATGAATCATAAAGTAAATATCTGATATGTGACCCCTGTGAAATGGTCATTCAATCCCCAAAGGGGTCCCGACCCCCAGGTTGAGAGCTACTTGTCTTCCAGGGAAAGCTTGTTATTCACCAACAGATGAAGGAACATTTTGAAATACTTCGATACCAGCAGTTGTAGCAGTTCACCCAGGTGTTGTAGCACCTTTTTCAGTGCACCCAGCATTTACTTGACGACTACATGCCAGGCACCATGCTTCAGTGTGTGGATCAGACAGGGAGACAATCACAACACTTTTCCTCAGGATGCTCACAGGGTACATGGTGAACACAGGCCGAAGTCTTGGGCACTGCATGCATATGCTCTGATCATGTGCCATATTTTGTGTGTACATGTGTATGTGTATTTGTGTTGTGTGTGTGTGTGTGTGTGTGTGCATACTTATGTGCATGTGTCCGTGCACACGTGTTTGGGTGCACATTTGTTTGGATGTGAAAGTAAAAGTATGTGGAGGCCTGAGGTAACTTGAGGTGCTATAGTTGAGACATCCACTTTGCTTTTTGAGGAAGATCTCTCATTGTTGCTAGCTTGTTGGTTCAGCTGGGCTGGCTGGCTGACTGGTTTGCAAGTCCCAGGGAGCTTCTGTCTCCACTTCCACCATCAGTGGTGAGTTCCAGGTGCATGCTGTCATGCCAGGCTGTTTACCTGAGTGCAAACACTTTATCCACCCAGCAATCTCCACAACCCCAAATGTGGTTTCTAAAGCCAGAAAGTCCATTTTTCCACTACAGTTCAGTGGCAGATAACATGTAGACACCAATTTAAAAATTATTTTCTGAGTGACTCTCAAACCAATGTGGAACTAAGCCATCAATTGACTGAAGATTTTGAAAAGAATAATGCCAGTTTACAAAGGAAACATTTTAATGAAGTAGAAAACAGAACTAGAAATGGATTAATGGGAATATTTTCATGTTGCAAAAATGTATGGGACACCTCTTAACAAAAATCTTCATGATAAACCAATGTCTTATATATCAAAGAAAAAAAATAAAATTGGACACTTGGAAGAGAAATAATGGATGTGGGGATGTTTGAAAATGAAAATAAGATGATGCTTTGTGTCCTAGTAGATTTGGTAATTATGTTGAAATATATACTTTTCAGAGAAACTCAAAGCCACCCAAATCAACCCAAGAAGCAGAAAATTGAAAATGAACAGTATCCATTTAAAACATGAGAATATGTGTTCAAGTGTTCTGTCTGTAGAGATTCTTGCTTCAGATTTGCATGCCTCAGAACTAAGCTTGGACTTCCCACAGCTAGAAGCTGCAGAGAGCCCCAGAATTATTGGTAACTATGAGAAGGGCTGGGGTGCAGCTCAGGGTTTGTCTAGATATGCAAATCCCTGGGGTTCAACCCACTACTGGAAAAATGGCTGCAGGGCCTTTGTGTGTTTGTAGGTGTTTATATTTATAACCCGCTTCCTCCCAGTCATAAAGGTATTTAGGAAGGTAAGGAAATTCCTATTGGAAGGTTTCTAAGATAACATCCTTCCTTAGTAGAGTCAAGGTGAAGGAAGACCTTGGTTGCCAATTGGCACCTTGTTAGAATCAGCTGAAGTCTTTCAGCAGAAGGATGTATGGAGAAATGTGTACACTCATAGTGGAGTTTTATTCAGCCATAAAGCACAACAAAGTGATGCCTTCTTCAAAATTGATGCAGCAGGCATCATCAAATTAAGTGAGATAATCCAGGGTTTCACAAATGTTGCATGTTTTCTCGTATTTGTGGATTCTAGGGTTTATATAGATACATACAGTCACTAATGTATAACTTACATAGAAGCAGAAGCAGAAGCAGGACCAGGAGAATCAAATGGGAGACTTGCCTGAAGGAGAGTGGAGGGTATGTGTTGGAGTATGTGGTCCACTTGAGAGACATTGTCCTTATGAAACCCAACACTAGGTACAATGAATATCCATGTATTAGATAGCTCCATGTCAACTTGACACATGCTAAAATCATCTGAGAAGAGGAACCCTCAGTTAAGAAAATACCTCCACAAGACAGGGCTGCAGGCAAGAATATAGGACATTTTCTTAACTAGTAGTTGATGAGTTGATGTGGGCGGGCTGGGCCCTTTGTGTGTGGTGCCATCCATGAGCTGGTGGTCTTAGGTCCTATAAGCTGGATAGGCCATATGGAACTAGCCAGTAAGCAGCATGGCCTCTGCATCAGCTCCCGCCTCCTGGTTGCTGCCCTGTTTGAGTTCCTGTTGTGGCTTCCTTCAGTGATGGACTACAATGCAGAATTGTAAGCCAAGTAAACTTTCTTTCCCTACTTGCCTTTTGGTCACGGTGTTTTGTTGAAGCAGTAGAAACCCTAAGACACTGCATCATTTAAAAAGGTATTTTATGGCCAGACAGATGGTTCAGTGAATAAAGACCTTAATTCCTAGCATCCATGTAAAATGTCAGCATGGGTGAGTGCATCTATAATCTCAGGACTGTGGCTGGGGCATGTGGAGGCTGGAAGATTGCTGGGGATTATCGACTGCTTAGCCTGGCTCCAGGGTCAATGAAAGATCCCGTCTCAAGAAAGTAAGGCAGAGAGTGCTAGTGCAGAAATCCTGTGCATACATATATCATAAACAGACACTCAAGCCTTTGGAGAGTGCCTGGCACAGAAGTAGTAGGAAGTGTCAACATTTATTATTTGTTATTTTTTGAGATGGTGAATGAGTCGGTCTCTTAGTTTGGGTTTCTGTTGCTGCGAAGACACGCGATGACCATAGCAACTCTTTTTTTTTTCTTTTTTAAAATAGAAGTGCTTTGCCGGGTGGTGGTGGCGCATGCCTTTAATCCCAGCACTCGGGAGGCAGAGGCAGGCGGATCTCTGTGAGTTCGAGGCCGGGCTGGACCGACAGCCTCCAAAACAATACAGAGAAACCCTGTCTCATAAAAAACAAACAAACAAACAAACAAAACAAAAAAAGAAGTGAAATAAAAGTGCTTTTTATTTATTCTTTACAAAGTAAATTCCATTTTCAAATGAAAGAAAATAGTATTTATTTTCTCCATTAATAAATCTTTCTGTATTTACCAGTTTTGTTAACCAGCTGTTTCTCAGTGTCATTGATATATATATAAATTAATTTATGTATTATCATGTGTGTATATCACCCTTTTTTTACAGAATCTTTTTAAAATTTTTTAAATTTAAATTAGAAACAAGCCTGCTTCATATGTCAATCCTAGCTCCCTCTCCCTTCTCTCCTCCCTTGCCCCCCACCAGCCCCCCATCCCATTCACTCCCCAGGGAGGGTGAGACACTCTATGGGGGATCCCCAAAGTCTGTCATATCATCCAGGGCAGGGCCCAGGCCCTCCCCTATGTGTCCAGGCCAAGAGCACATCCCTCCGTGTGGAATGGGCTCCCAAATTCCATTCATATGCCAGGATAAATACTGAGCCAGTACCAGAGGCCCCATAGATTGTTGAGGCCTCCTCACTGACATCCACATTCTGGGGGGTCTGGATCAGTCCCATGCTGGCCTGTCAGCCATAAGTCTGGGTTCCATGAGCTCCCCCTTTTTTAGGTCAGCTGCTTCTGTGGGTTTCACCAGCCCAGTCTTACCCCCTTGCCCATTACTCCTCCCTCTCTGCAACTGGGTTCCAGGAGTTTAGTGTTTAGCTGTGGGTGTCTGCCTCTGCTTCCATCAGTCACTGGATAAAGGCTCTAGGATGTCATATAAGGTAGTCATCAATTTCATTATCAGGGGGATGGAATTTAAGGTAGCCTCTCCACTATTGCTTAGATCACAGAAACTCTTATAAAGAAAGCATTTAATTGGGGTAGCTCGCTTACAGTTTCAGAGGCTCAGTCTATTGTCATCATGATGGGGGGCGTGGCAGTGTGCAGGTAGACATGGTGCTGGAGCTGAGAGTGCCTTATCTTGACTCAGGCTACAGGGAGTAGTAGACTTGTCACACTGAGGGAAACTTGAGCAAAAGAGACTTTAAAGTCAGTCCCCACATTGACACACTTTCTCCAATAAGGCTATGCCTCCTAATAGTGCCACTCCTTTTGGGGGTCATTTTTTCAAACTGCCACTGTCCCACTGTGTTGCCCACACTGGTATGGAATTCACTTTCCTCCTGCCTCTGCCTCTGGAGGAGCTGAGATAGCAGGTGTGCACAGCCCTGCCTATTACCATACAAAATGGTTTCTTTAGTTTTTATTTTTATAAAAACACTTCAGTTCTCCATTGTCATTTCTTAGCACTGGTAAATACTCCTAAATTTGCAGAGAGCTGTGGTGGGGGTGAGGTGAGGAACACAGACAGCAGACAGCATGGTGTCAAACCCCAGTATTTCAAGGACACAGCATGTCCTGGACAGCAACCTCAGTCAGCTTCCTTATATAAGCTATGGGGCAATGAATGGGTTAATATAAAGACATGTGTGAAACAGGGTTTGGCTCTCGGTGAATG